TATTTTTTCTGACTGATGTTAAGAGTTTGCATTCCTGTAATTTTGGTGAAAGGAAGAATGTGGTAGCATTTTAGATGTGAGCTGGGCCATAGGGAAAAAAAATATATCCAGTTTGAAAGAGTAGAAATTTAGATCTTTGTGTGCGGTAGATTTTATTATGACCTTTTAAAACTAGATTGGTAGAAATTTTATTGTTTAAATTAGACTCCTGTGGCTACATGAATTTTTACACCTGTGTACTACCATATGATGCACTGCATTTTGCATCTCTGGATTTTATTGTCTCGATGTACTGTAAACATAGATGATATTAAGGGATATCTCTATCTGTATCATTATGATAAAATGTCCCAAACTACTAAGCTAACATTGAGTGCCATGATTTTATTTTCTCTGTTTGCCAGGATTCATCCTGCTTTTTAATTTAAGAATTTTTACCTCCTTGTTATTTAGTCATATCTTCTCTTTTAAAAAAAAGTATGGAATTTTATGTTTTTGTTTCAGACCTAATGTATGTGGATCACGTTATAATGCTTATTGTTGTCCTGGATGGAAAACCTTACCTGGTGGAAATCAGTGTATTGTCCGTAAGTACACATTATTTTGCTTATTCTTTTGTTACTTTGGTTGTATGATGATCTTTAGAATTTGTTCCCTTGTAACCACATGCCATTAATATGTTTAAAGTTGAATCATTCAACTTTAAACTTTTCTTTTTTCTGAACCCCGGTTAGGATTGCATTAGTTTTGTCAAAGTATTTTCACACTTTTAACTCGATGATATCCTTTAGAATGTTACTGAGATATAGAGCTTAAAGCCATAGAGATACTTTGATGGAGGTTGTATGTCATTTGCATATGTTGTGCTTGGATGCACAGACTATGTAATCACTTTGATGAGACTTTGAGATAAAGGGTATCATTGCTGATTTTCTTATTGTAATTTCTAAATTTGTTGGCCACAGCAGGCCACAGGTCTCCTCATACCATGCACATTGAATTAGGGTAATCAGAAGCAGATCTAATTCTTAGACAAAGGTGAAAGAAAGGGGACAGAGAATCCAGGAAAGATCAGGAGAAAGACTAAGGAAGAACTCCAGAGGCGTCAGACATTCTTTTATTGATTTCCACTGTATGAAAAACCTCCATATTCTCATAATTATAACAAGTGTTGAGTGACAATCACATGCCAGACAAAGTACTATTTAATGGAGACACTAAGTCAAATGAGTGATGGTGTCTTCCCTCCATGAACCTTTACAGACATTATTCCTGTGAAATAAATTCCAGAAAGGAAATCCCATTAGTATAATGAGAAAATATAGAGCTGAAAGAACATTAAGGAGTCACTTAGGTCCACTTTATTGGCCATAATAGTGTTGTATGGAGAAGAGAAGAATAAAATATTTTAGGCATTTTTTTTTTTTTTTGGTATCAGAGATTGAATCCAAGGGCACTTAACCACCGAGCCACAGCCTCAGCCCTTTTTTATATTTTATTAGAAAAAGGGTTTCAGTGACTTGCTTTGGGTCTTGCTAAGTCGCTGAGGCTGGGTTTGAATTCACCATCCTCTTGCCTCAGCCTCCCAGGTTGCTGGGATTACAGGCATGTGCCAATTTGCTTGGTGACCTGAAAAAGTTTATCCATTCCCAATTCTTGACTCTGACTAGAAAGTTATGTTATTCATCTGGCATAATGTGGTTCATTTTAAGATCAAAATTGAATCACTAGGAGGGGGAGATAATGGTATTTGGAATTTTCTAAATGAGCTTGACAACATTTATTTTTAATAATTAATTTATAATTGACAGAATTCCCAGTGATCTGTAGAATTCTCTGAAAAATGTTATCAGCAGGTACTGAAATAAATGTTTATAGAATTCTTTGACAGTTTATTTCATAATAGTTTCTGCTCTCCATCCTAAGGTCTTTTTGTGTTTTAACCCATTCTGTCTCATCATCCCAGATGTGAAATACCTATAAAAACTTAAACTAAGCAACAAATATGCCACTTATGGTAATTTTGAAACAATATTTGAATATTATGTTTACAGAATGAAAACTTGGGACTTAATGAGTTTAATGCAATTAAACTGAATGTATTTTAGCCTGCACATCATGCATGCCTCTCACAGGACTGTGCAAGAATGTATTATTTAAACTTACTCCTCAGACCACTAGCAGAGAGTTTGGAACCAGCATGACATTGGTCTTTGGGTGGCATGAAAATATAAAACTCTAAGAGATGAAGGGTTTCCTAGTGGGAGTCAGAACTAGGGCAGTGGATTCCAGATTCTCCCCTCAGGCTGTCAATGTCATTCAGAACCAGACAAAAATTAAACATTAAACACTTAACAGTAAAATTGTCTCCCAAGAATATTACTGCAATTTTTTAATCATTAAATTATAAAGTTAGTAAAAATGGAGTTCTTGTAAGCATATATTTAGGTGCAAGATTTTGGTTTTTTTTTTTTTTTCCCTTCATAGCCAGTCCTGAGCTTTTGATAGATTGAGTGCTGTTGAGTAAGTAGAGAGAGACTGAGGATCACTAACAGGGTAAAGGAGCTACCAACTTCTAAGGAAGTTTTAGTCCAACAGACTTGTTTTATAGGTCAATATACCTGAGGCTTAAGGTCATGTTCCAACAGTGGAGTTAGTGAGGGGCCTGAGAGCCCTGGGCCCTTCAGTTGAGTACTGGATCCCTGAAGTTAACCGTGTGCTCAGTCTACATGCTGACAGACCTCTGGTTTTATTCACAGCCATTTGCCGGCATTCCTGTGGGGATGGATTTTGTTCGAGGCCAAATATGTGCACTTGCCCATCTGGTCAGATATCTCCTTCCTGTGGCTCCAGATCTAGTGAGTCTAACATGTCATTATATATAATATTATTTTATGTGGTTACGCCCTATTTTCTCCTAAATTTGCTTTTGGCTTTTCTCTTTGCCTGCAATACATTTTTTTTCACTAGAACATCTGCCTTGTCTGCTTTGCCCAAAATACTTGGAAAGGCTTTCCTCAATCTGGCTTTGCATTTCCTTCTTCACTCTTTATAGGAAAATTACCTATGGGGCATAGTTACATGAATAATATAAGGATTATGACTTTCTATGTAGGTATGGCCTTATTCATCTTTGTATCTCCAACATAAACACTGTAAAAGATGCTCAATGAAATGATTGCTTACTGACCATTTTTGGCTCAAGGAAACAAAGCATTTTTCCTTGTGGTACTGAAATATGAATTTGATTAAAAACTTGTTTAAAACTCAAAAGACCCCTGCCTTTGCAAGAAGAAAATTTAGCAAGTCTTGATGGCAATTCCTGGGGATGATTTGTCATGAAGCACAAATGTATTTTCCTTTTCAGAGTTTTGCCACTTTTTTCTATGATCATCATCCTATGATGCCAAATAAATGTCTATAGTTCATCATAAAAAGCCTGTGTTTTTTTTTCTTGTTCTACTTTTTTTAAAGTGTAGTATCTACAGCAGTGAATTAGGGAATTGTGGGGGTTGAAAAGGAGGTGAGTCATTAGTTGTTTAAAAAGTTGAAGTTTATATCTGTATAAACAGCCTCTCAATACCTCAACCATCACCAAGACAAAAACAAAAACAAAATCTAGAGACCTTTTTCCATTTCTAATTCTTAGTGAGAAAACATGTTCTCTTTATATTATGTTCTGTTTTTGTCAGGGTTTTAAGAAAAAAAAATGTTGTGGAGTAAATATTTCCTCTTGATTTCAAATAGAGACTTTGATGTGTCAAGGTCCATTACCTTTTTTGGAGGGAACTGGGGTGCTGGGTATTGAATTCAGGGGCACTTGAGCACTAAGCCACATACCCAACCCTATTTTGTATTTTATTTAGAGACAGGGTCTCACTGAGTTGTTTAACACCTTGCTTTTGCTGAGGCTGGATTTGAACTCACAATCCTTCTGCCTCAGCCTCCCAAGCTGCTGGCTGGGATTACAGGCGTCCTCCACCATGCCTGGCTAAAGTCCCTTACCTTTTAAGAGTCCTAGCATTTAAATGTGTCTCTCATAAACCAGTTAACAGGCTAGGGTGAGTTGTTGTGTTTAGAAGACCCTCTTGGTATCCATTCACGTCCTTTGTGAACACAGGTGAACAGGGCAGACTCTGCCTGAGAGCTTTGTATAATTTTTCTGGCAGGGGATCATGCCATGTCTAATGTATATACAGGGCAAGTTAGAAGTGCTACAGAGTTAGTGGACTTAGAATCAAATTTTAACCAATGACATATGGAGAGTTGTTGGATAAGGGTCCCAGCTTCCTTGCCTCCCAGTTGTGATAACTACGAGGTTTATCCTGCACTGTCTCCTAAAATTCCCCACTGAATGGAAATCTTATTCATGGAGTTAGTAGACTTGATAATGTAATTTATTAACTTCTTCCTTGTCCCACTCGCCTATCAGTGTTTCATGGAGTTACTTCAAAAACAAGTTACATCCATTGAAATTATTGTCTCAGAATCTGCTTCTGCGGGAACCCAGCAAAAACAGCTTAATACTAAAAACAGCTTGTTGTAGATTGGGATAGACGCCTCCCCATAGGATGGTGACTTTTTGCTTATTGCACTAAATGTAGCATATTATTATTTGACTTCAGCTTAGTTTTGAATGTGCATTCTCCAAGTAACAGCAGGTTCACTCAACACAGCAAGGGCACATGAGCTAGAGAGATAGAAAAAGACAGAGAAATCAGCAACTCCAGGATTATGTCAGACATCTCTGTCTCTATCAGGAAGACCTCCAAGCTGCCATGGAGGAGGGACATTCTCAAATTGGGTAAGAAGTATAAATAACCAGTTGGGAATAGCTCCCATCTCTCAGAATCACCTCACACTGCACTTCTCTGGGGGAAGAAAATAAGGCCAGATGGCAAAACGGGGTTTCCAGCTGGAAAGATCTTCAATAATAGTGGGAACTGCTCATGACTTCTCTGTCAAGTAAAATTCATGAGATGTGGAGACAGGATATTAGCAAGGCCAGAAGGGAAAGTGTGGTCCCAGTATACTTCAAACTGGACATGGAATGGGAGTTAGAAGTGCTGTAATAAAGTAATAAAGTCCTGAGGCCAGATTTAGGCAAGAGATTGAACTCCAAGACTTGGGGGTGGTACTTTCTGAAGAAGTTTGAATCTCATCTGTAATACCTGGACATTGGACAAAGTCCCCAAATGGCCTGTAGATCAGAGTGGTAAAAGGAGGATGATCTGATTTTACCAGGATTTTTTTGAGGTATTTGGAGCCTTTAAAATTGTTGACTTGGGCTCCCCCTGAACTAATGTTATCTATCAGCTTGCAAAATTTAAGATGTCAGGTTTTAAATTAAGGGTAATTGGAGATGATCAGAATTCCTTTCTGATTCTTGGATGTTCTAGGGAAGAGCTGGTCATTATACAGAACTCTCTGGTGACAAGGTGGTAGACAGCAAGGTAGAGAGATCACTGGATAACTCTTCTGCTAATAAGATAACCTCAATTCAGTTAAAGGTTTGCATTAACTACCTATCATTCTACTAAAAAAGACCAGTTAGATCATTCCACCAATTTTTCCTATGTTTAAATTTGTACTTGCTCTGTGATTGGGTGAAGGAGGACTATCAAGTCGTGGACCTCTTAGGGCCTTAGTTTTCTCATCTGTAAACAGAAAGAATGTTATCAGGGCTGCATTTCCAGGTGGTTTTTGACTTGAGTGTCCTGTGCCTCTGAGAATAGATAGTGATTTTTTTCTTGGTGGTCTAAATGAGAGGATGCTTTTCTAGAAGGTTCAAACCACCAGTCAGCAAATCTCTTGGACATCAAGCTGTGGCTTCCCTTAATCCTGGGGCAGTTCTTTACACTGGTCATTGAGGCACCAAGGCAAAAGAAGGTCAGAATAGTGGTTTATCTAGACTTCAATTCCAGGTCTCTTTAGGACTCTTCTTTACTCTGTCAGCCTCTGAGGCTAGAGATGGATGCTGAGCAATCCTAGTTCTCATAAAGACCTATCATGGTTCACTGATCTGTGAATTTACTCTAACTCTTCTTAACTATTTATACACACACACACGCACGCAAATGCATGTTAGCATGTGATACTGGGAGTAACAAACTCTTCACCTTAATAGATTGTCCTAGTCCATTCAGGCTGTTCTAATAAATGCCTTAGGAACATTCCTAACAATTCCAGATGCTGGGAAATCCAGGGTCAAGGCACCAGCAGATTGCATGTCATCTTCTGCATCCTCACCTGGCAGAAGGGCAGACCAGTTCCCTGGGGAGTTTTCACAAGGGCACTAATCCCATTCATGAAGGCTCTGCTGCATGACTTAATCACCTCTCCAGAAGCCCCACTGCATGCTAGCATCACACTGGGGATTAAGTTTCAGCAAATGAATTCTGAAGGAACACAAACACTCAAGAGTACAGTATCTATCTATCTATCTATCTATAGTTATATATAACATATTGTTGTAACATTTATTCTCTATACTTTATATTTTAGAAATTTGTAAAATTTGTATTTGGAAGTTTACTTTATGTTCATCCTGTTTTAGTTTTCACACTCTTTAAAAAGGATTTTTAAAATTAAACATTGAGATGATTGTATGCTCAGAGACAATTGTAAGAAATAAATTGGAAAGAAATAAGAGACCCAGAATAGCCTGGAAAGATCCTGAATACCCTTTACTCAGTTTTCCCCATAATAACATCCTGTAAAATTTTGGTACAGTATAATAAGCAAAATACTAACATTGGTACAGTCAAGACATAGGACATTTACATTATCACAATATTTCCCTCACAGTCATTTCCTTCTTGCCCCCTGCCTGCCTTTATCCTGAAAACTACTAACATGTTCTCCATTTCTATAATTTTGTCAATGCAGGAATGTAAATGGAATCACACAGTATATAATCTGGGATTGGCTTTTTTTCACTCAGCATAATTCTCTGGAGATTTTTCTAGACTGTTGCATGCATCAAACAGTTCATTTCCTTTATAGTTAAGTAATAATATATGCTAAGTTATGCCATGGTTGGCTTACCCATTCACCTGTTGAAGGGTATCTGGCTTTTTTTTTTTTTTTTGTCCAAATAAACCAGCTACAAACATTCATGTGTAGGCTTTTGTGTGGACCCACTTCTTCATTTTTCTGGGATAAAGGCCCAGGAATGCGACTTCTGGTTTGTATGGTATTTGCATGTTTATCTTATTAAGAACGGTCAAACTATTTTGGAGTAGCCATACCATTTTACATTCTCACCAGCTGGGTATAAATGACCCAGTTTTTCTGCATCCTTTCCAGCTTTTGGTGTTGTCCCTATTTTTAATTTTAGCCATTCTCATAAATTTTAGCATATAGCCGTATCTCATTATGGTTTTAATTTGCATTTCCCTAATGGTCAATAATGTTGAACATCTTTACATGTGCTTATTTGTAACTTGTATGTATATCTTTCTCAGTGAAATGTGTCCTGATATCTTTTGTCCAGATTCTTATTGGATTGCTTATGATCATTTGACATATTCTAAATACTAATTCGCTGTCAGATGTGTGATTTGTAAACATTTTCTCCTACTCTGAAGCTTGCTCTTTCATATTTTAATGGGCTCTTTTATAGAGAAAGATTTTAGATTTGATGAAGTCCAGCATATCAATTTTTTCCTTATTAGATTATATTTTTGGTGTTCAGTCTGAGAATTCTTTGCTTAATACTAGATTTCAAAGATTTCCTTCAACTTTTTAAAAACTGTTTAATAGTTTCACACTTACATCTCTGACTCATGTTGAGATACTTTTGGTCTGAGAACTGAGGTTGAGTTCTAGGTTCAGTGGTTGCTTACCAATGTTCAAT